CCACAAGGAGGGCAGCAAACCGGAAGGATGCAGCGACTTTCCAATGAGATCAGCCAACTTCGTGGCGTGATTGGCCCTTTGTCCTGGCAGGCTTCACAGAAGGCACCACAGTTCCAAACTGATGTGGCACTGCTGCTGTCGGAGGCGCCGCGTGCCACGGTGGACAGGCTGCTGCAAGCGAACAACAAAAAGTGCGAGGTGCGTATGGTGTCCCAGACTTTGGTGTTTCCTCATTGGGCTGTGCCTTTGCAAGGTTTGAGCATCATTGTTTGGTCGGACGCTTCGGCCCCGAATCTTGTCAGCTCAACAATGGGCATTGTGGGAGGATGCACTCCCAGGTCCATTTTGGAAGGGACATCCCAACAGGTGGCTCTCAGCACCTGGCGGTCCCAGAGGAACCTCAGGCAAGCAATGGGGCTGAAGTCCAGGACATCACCGAGGGCGAGGACTTGTGCTTTCGGTTGAAGACACTTCTCGCCAAGATCAGTGGCGAAGAGTTGGCTCGCCGGTGCTCTGCAAAATGCTCCGAGAACAGGCCCATGGCCTTGGTTTTGGGCTCCCGGGCATTCATGATGCAACGAAAAGAAATGTAAGCTCGCTTCAAATTTCACAAGCTGAGATCCAAAAGGTCCGGATACCCATAGAGATCCAGACCAACTTAAGGTGGGTCAACGGAGATCGGCAGCTGGCAGTGCAAGGTGCAGATCTAGTTGATTTTTTGACTGCATGGACCATTGTTGCTCTCATCCCCCATACTTCTCTGATCACACCACCCGAGCCAGGGCCAGCAATGTTTTACCGCGAGTGTGTTGACCTCCTTGATGACCTGTCGTTCCATCTCGTCTCGCAGCTGTCGCTTCCTTCCCGACACGACAATCGGGTCATGCACTACGGCCCACCACTGCCCATTTGCCAGAAACTGCATCATCATATTCTTTGCTGCTCCGCTCTGATGCAAGTGCTGTTGCAGTATTTACACATCCATTTTACACTGGCTGGGATAGTTGAATATGATATGCTCAAAATATGGCAGGTAAATAACTGAGTCCACAGCTGTCGAAAAACACAAACAACTACATTGTGAAGACGGCATGAGCCTGGAATCGGTGGTATAGGGTGATGTTCCATGCAAAGGTTGCTATCGTGCAACCATGTTCAAGTTGTTCTTCAGGCTGAGGCTGGTGTTGGCGCGTTTAAGATGATTTTGCAACCTGCAAGGAAGGTTTGTTGTAGGTTGTCCATCATCCCACGTTGCCATTGGTAGAGGGAAGGTGCTGCCTAGTGACTAGTGAAATTTGAATGGTCAAGCCTCAGTGTTCCCATTGCGATCTGGCGCTCGTCACGGAGGGGGACAAAGTTCATCGAAAAATCACACTGTCACCCATCACAGTTTTTGAGAAACACCTGGTGTGTTTGGAAACCATTTTTGCATGGCACGTGGATGAAAACAATACAGGTGCCACAACAAAATGAGAGGCGCACCAATAAAGCAGAGACACACGCTTCACCTTAAGGCAGAGACCCGTCATTTAATTGCGATGCGTGTTGCTATGCTATGGTGCACTAGCTGCAAGCAGCTCCGCAAGCGCGGCCCAAGAGAATCGAACCACTATTGGTGTTAGACAAGTTGCACAATTCGAGGGCACCTGCAATTTTGTTCCCAACAACACGCTAAGGTCCAAAAAATCCACAAGTATTTTCAATCATTGGCGTAAACTTTCGGACTCAACGGTCCTTATTTCAAGTTCATTGGTTTCAAGAATGCGGGCAAACAAACAATCAACGTTTTCTTTGCGAATTTGGTGACTTTCATTACCTTTGTTGCAGCTCCACCACATGGATTGGCACAATACAATGTGTTTTTTGGGTGTTTTTTTCTTTAAATTTGTTGTGACGAGTGTTGTGACATAGGGTAGTTTGTTATGACCACACCGCTTGCCGCTGATGGTCCCTTGGCCTACGTCACACTGATCACGTCAGATGACTTCCTAATGGAAACCCGGCCGCATGACTTTAGCCTTTTTGTGTGGGTGGTGAAATCGAAAACAAACTGTCACTTTTGCACCGTTTTGGGCGCGTCCAATCCTCCCAGCAATGGTATTTGGTAATGGTCTTGGGTGTTTTGCTAGGGTGTTTGTGTTGCAGCTGTCCGGAAACGCCTTCAAGGCAGTACAAACATTGGCATCCTCGCTTCGGTGCACTGGCACTAAGTACTTGCCAATGTTGGTGGCGACGATGCACTCAGACATTCATTGCGCAGGGGATTTTTTTTTTTGTGTAGTTGCCGTTGTTGAAAAAAATATTTGCCGTTTAGGTTCACAAGGTCCGTTTCACGTTCAAAGTGAGACATGGAACCACAACCCAGGTACTCCACACTGACCAAGTCTCCAGCACCACAGTTGCCCGGTTGGCATCGGATTCCTCCCTGAAATTGCACTTCGGCGCAGTGGAGGAAAATGTATCATGTCATATGGAACCCATTCTTGTCACAATACGCTGAGGAAAGCAGTTGAAACCATTGCCAACCCACATAGCACGGATGTGCATCTTGGCCGCAAGGGTGTGTTGGGCAGAGTGTTTTGTTTTTTGTTTTTGATGGATGTGATGGCCAGCTTGTGCGAGGCCTGGCTGGGTCAACTCCGGTTTCACGAAGCTGCGCGTTTGGGAGCAGGAGGAGTTTGCGTCTTGAAGGCAAGAAGTTTTGTATATTTTTTCAAGTATTTTTGGGAAACCTAGCTATTGCCATTGGGATTGTGTGGTGGTATGTCGTTTGAAACCCACACATCAAAGTAAAGCAGAACTCAGTGGCCACAGGGTGCTGTTGCACGCTCTGTTGGGTGTTTGTGTTTGAGGGGATGTTGCTTGCAGCAGAGGCAAAATTGGTATACATTGATGCGGATTGTTTGATTTTGGTCACTTGGCCGCGTGCAAGCGGCCCGGAACCGTGTATGTTTTCAACGAGGTTTGCGGATGTGCGCATCAGCTGCTCCATGTTCCTTCCTGATGAAAGCAAATCATGTTCCTGCCTTATGCACCAAGGAAAACATTGACGAATTGTTTGCCAGCGTTTGCCCAGCTTTTTGCCCAGCACCTGGCCTGATATCGCCATCCCATTGCATTTTTTGTCGGGTTTGCGGACCCTTGTTTGCAGGTGTTTTCCTTCAAGGTAACGAGAGGCATGTTGGTTTGAACAAACCCTCAGTGTAACTGCGCGTGCTGTGCTGGGAAGTGCCCAACGCATCCCATTGCTAAGACGACCGTTCCTGAGCAGATTGAGGACGTTTTTCCACCAGATAAGTTCAATGCTGGTGTCATGGTGGTGGAGCCCAGCCGCAGTGTGTTTCAGGCACCAGGGCAAACGCCAGTCGCCATGCAGCAAACCCATACACACTGTGATCTTGAGCCAGGAGATGCTGCAGCAAATAGACCGTCTTCCATCTCACGACGGAGGTGCTGTTGTTTTTGGACAATCGCATTGGAAAGCGGTAACCCTTAGACATTTTCGGGAAACTTGAGATGCTAAAGAGTGAAAAAGAGTGCTCAGAGTGGGAACAAATTTTCCAGGTGACTGGTTCCAATCAAAGTCAACCCAGACCATCTTGATTCTGAGCGAAGGCGACACGGGCTTCCTCAACTCCTTTTTTCCGGATTGGTTTCGCTGGCCGGCTGAGCAGCGCTTGCCATTCCGCTACAATGCTTTGCGCACTATGTATTGGTTCCTAAGCTGATGATACGTAATTGAAGCGTGTTCTGAAACTGGGAAACTGGCCATGAAATTGCTGTTTCCACCAGAATGTGGAGGAAGTCAACCAGTATTATGGCCCAGAAAAAAGAAACAGGACTCAGGATTCGAGGTCAAATCATTCAGGTCTCGAAAGGGAAGACTTGGGTCGCAGTTGAGGTTTACACATTCAAACCCTGGATATTGGAAGTCGCTCGCACCTGTGAAGGCAAGAAGGGGTTCGGAGGCTTTGATATGAGACATGTGAAGTGTTGCCATTGCCCTCGCTTGGTCACATGTCGCAAGCAAAGATAGGGCAAGGAAACGGGCCAAGCAGCAAATGATCCAGTGGGGACCCTTGTCGGCCCTTGTCGTGGTTCCACGCCCTTTTGGGCGATCGATTTGGCAGGTCCTGCACTTTTGCTCTTCACCCAAGCCATGGGACCCGGAGGCCAAGAAGGGCGATCTGGAACAGCTACCTGGAGATGTCTATTTGCGCAAGTGTGAGGCAACGGGCCCTTGAAGGAGACTGGAATCCAAGACAGGTGCAATTGATATCAGCTAGAGGACCATGAAGGAAAACATGCGCAAACGTTGGTGTAGGTGACTGCTGGTGTTCAGATCGCGCACTTCGCCGGATATCATGTCACATGGATCCGACCGACAGATTCCATAGAGGTTTGCATTTATGCCGGAGGGTAACCTGATCTTTGGGTGCCGTGAAATGATTAAGTTGCCAATAGTGATGCCAAGGATTTGGTGGCAGCACTACCTCAAATCGCAAGTTCCATTCTGACTTGGAAAAAGATTGGCGGCCGAAGGTAAACTCATATCTACTCATATAGCTAGTCAAGTTGTTGGACACTTGTAAGTCAAGGAACTTTCTCACGGTCCCTTGATGCAGTGTGGAAGTCACGTGGTGGAGACATAAGCAATGTCGATAGGCTCATTAGAGGGAATAATGCATTGGACTTGGCTACCGGCTTCTTCAGGGCCGAGCGTCGCCGATTCTCAGAGACCCAAATTGTGACATTGCCGCCTGCAGTTGGCTCATCGTACATGTTAAGCTGCATGCAGCCAGCCAGTCGCTTCGGGCACCTTAAGCCTAGAGTTTTGACATGGATGAGAACCAGAAAGAGTTGCAGTGAGGATACTGTATATATGTGTTTGTCAATTGATTTTCAAATTCTTCCACCTGCAGCTAAACACAGCTCACGACATTCCACCTGCCAGTGTAGGGCAGATTCAATCACAGCACTTTCAATGAACTTGGGTTTTCCCTAGAAGTTAGCACCAGCTATTTGCAGCTATCTCTGATGGGCAGATGTTTGAGTTCGACTTCGATGACTTGGGCGAAGTGGAGGCAACGGTGAGTGTGAGGGCAGCCATGTCAGACTGCGTTCGCTACTTGCGCCACGGGTGAAGCTGTGCAAGTGAGACCCAGGGCCTCACACCCAACACGAACCTGAACATGAATTACAGCTTTTGCAGTTGTTTCTTTGGGGGGCGGGCCAGGGTATGCAACGCCACAAGGGCCGCTCATGCAGCCAGTTTTTAACTAATCCTGATTGTGCCCAGGGTGACATCAAGGGGAGAACTGCAGGACGGATTGGGTATCACCTGCTCTTGTGTTCTGACGTAGATGTGATCATTTCCTTGCATGTTCTGTCCAGTTCGCTTCGTTTCTTCGCTGCAGTCGCTACTTCTTTTTGGGGCTCTCACCTCTGTTTTTGGGAGGAGCCCTCCGTGGGCGAGGAGCTCCTGGACAGCGGTTACAGAGACTGGAAGGATTTGGGGCGGAAATGAGCAGAACATAGCAGAACAGATTGATTCTTTCCACCTCAAGAGGGCAGTTGCTAGACACTGAGACACTGACACTGGGATTGTCATATTCACGGAGGCCAACGTGAACTCCAGAATTCAGCACTGAACCAGTTTTGTTTTGACTCTGCTCTCTTCACCGCCAATCACCTGGCCAAAAGGCTTTCTCATCCAAGATCGAGGCTGAGGTGATGCTGTCCCGATCACATAAACTGGATTTGACACGATTTGACGATTTTGATTCTGCAAACCTAGCCGTCTTCAAAACTGAAAAATGATGATGTCCTTCCTTTATGCTTGATTCACATTGGAATGATTGGTTTGTAATTATTGTACATCCAAATCCTTTGCAACACATGACGGAGGCGCCGCGAGCTCCAGCAAAGAGCAAAGCAACTGCCAAGCCCAAGGCCAAAGCCAAGGCCATGTCCCGCGCCATCAGAATACTATGGCCCTAATATATGGCTATGTTGAAGCACAGGGCATTTTTTCTTGCCTTGGACCATTGGTTTTGGCACCTCCTCATTTTGAGATGGCCACGTTGAAGCGTGCACAACAATGCAGACGTACATGTGACCAGGGCGGCTGCCCAGCCTACGCCCACCAAAGTTGTAGCAGGAATTGCGGGAGTACAAACGTATATATCTTGAACGCGATATCTATGGTGTACTTCTGTGTTGCGTCAGCGAAACGTTGTTTACAACATGCTCTTTCTCACACAGGTTCATATATATATATAATGTGTGTGTGTTTTAAAATAAGTGACTTGACATGGCTTGACTTGACTCGGCAGGTTCCAAGCGGTCCTGCAAGTTGCGTGCAATGTAAAACCAATCCGAGTGATAGTTGCAACATTTTGAATAGCGCTTATGGTGGAGGCCCTGCATGACATGACAGATTTCTTTTTGACTACTTCAACCATATTTTCTATTTTGAGTTCATTAGTAGTACAAGGTTTCCAAGGGCAGAGAACATGCGCACGCCATGGAGCTCAATGCCGTCGATTTGCAGAAGGTGGAGTAGCTGTTGACCTGGCGAAAGGGAATGCGAGGAATTGGCACCTCAATATGTGGAGTGGTGGAACCAGAACAACAAGCACCGAGCAATCTTTGACGATCTATGTCACGAATATTCCTGACAATGTCACAGTCGCAGATGTGTCGGCTCTCTTCTCCAAGGACCATGTGCATCCTGCGTCACGAAGGTCGGAGAGGTCAAGGAAAAAGAAGAACACACCCAACCTGAGGACATTTTTTGATTGGACGGAGTCTGCCTTCCACCAACCATTGGTTGAAATAATGGTCCACACAATTTCTGGATCCCAGTAGGTGGCTGTTTCCAGACAATGGCCGTTTCCAGACAATTTCTATTGGCAAATAGTTTTCCCAACTAGAGACCTTGTATAGAAGCGAACAGCATAGTGCAGCTATACATCGTTGAAGAACAACCAGGATCGTCACGCCAAAGAAACAAAACAGAAAAACAAAACAATAACACAATTGAAGCATGGAAAAGGTGAGGGTCGCCGGCCTTTTGATGGGTGGTGCAAGTCTCCATGGTATGTCTCACCGTTCTTTGGGGGAGGGACCGGTGTTCTGAATTGTGAGTGTTTGAGGTGATTTGTTGAAAGAGGTCTGGACTACAATTGGACACCTGGAGAGTCTACGATTTTATATAATAGTCTATAATAAACCCCAAAACGCACACACACATAAGTATCATAAAATGTATATATATATATATGTGTGTGTGTGTGTGTTGATGCTTACTGGAGTAGAGGTGGCGCACTGCCGCCAATTAACCAAACTAGTTATTTGAGGCGAGTGGGAGGGTTGTGGTGGTGGTGGTGGTGGTGGTGTATGGTAGGGCATGGCAGGGCACAGAAAGAAGCTCTGATTTCTTAGTGTCTTAGTGGATGCAATGACACAATATGATACAATCAAGTCTTACATGAAGGACTTGATACACTCACTGCAGATAATTTGCGGCACGGTTTCTTCCATGGTCCCTCATATGGCCGCCCCGCCTGGTGCCCTGGAGGATGAAGGTTTCTGTGGACTCCGAGCAGTCGGAGGGTCCAAGCGGATTGTCTTCGTGGACTTCGGAGCCTCGGCGGGACACTGCTCGTGCTGGGACCCTGCCAACTAACATGATTCAAGCAGATTGTGGTTGAATAGGTGCACCTTGGTCTGGCAAGAATGGATATATACATGTTGTTTGCGCTGGTGAAATCCTCCCGCTCACATTTGTTGTGTGACACTTCGAGCAGGGGCTGCTAATCAGCTTCAAGTGGCACGAGAAGCCCGCAGAGTCGGTCGTTTTTGATCGTTTTTGCATAGTTAGTGGGCTTGAGGTGCCGTGCAGTCCTCTCGCTCGCATGTCAATTTGGCGAATCATCAACCCAACAAGCTACGTTCATTTTTTACTGTATATTGAAAACACAGGGGGAGAGAGAGAGAGAGAGAGAGATATATATACACATACAGTATACACAAATCCTTTTTCAAGATGTAGGCCTCCCTACGTAATGTTTCGGCTGCGAGGGATGGTGTGAGACCACAATGAGCCATTGACGTAAGGAACTGAAATGCAAGCGACCAAAGCTATGCGAAAACATCAAGGGCATTGCTTCCTTTCAGCTACTGAAGGCCTTGTCGCGGGCAGCCGTTTGTGAGTTTCGTGATTTCTCCCACGCTGGCCTAAAGGCATTTTCAAATGGAGCCGCCTTTTGCTTCTAGCGGCCAGTGCACCTCCGCACTCCTACAGTCATTCGATGTATCATGTGCATATGGGCCTGTGAAGGCTTCACACAGGCCGGCAGCATGTGCCAGACTTTGATGCTAACTGTGCGGGCATCCTTGTCCAGACACAACAGAAAGAGTATTGTCCCATATTGTACCATTTTTAAAGTAGGACTGTAGAAAGAGAGATGGTTGTCCGTCTCCACAGTGTTCAACTATGAACATCCAAATTGCTGATGGATCAATACAAGACATTACAAGACACTACATATCAATACATATCACTGACTATATATATACATGATTCTGACCAAAGTCTTTGGCCAGAGAGTCAGGGGCTGTCGATAAACCTCTTCTTTCTCCAGGACTGATGATCGACTTTGATCATGACAAACGCTCAAAGCGGAGTCGTGCGATAGAGTGTCTTGTTTGCACGAGGCACCACAGTGCAACCATTTGATGCGAACACTTGGATAAGGAGTAGATAAGATAGGTATATAGATAAGATAACAATCTTATACTATAAGATATACGATATAGTTTGATGCTAACCCGTATTGAGTATTGCTGCCCATTTGAGGAAGCCCTGGAGTACGGCCTCTTTTGACCGTGGAAGGAACAAGCGGCATGAGAAGCCGATGAAGAGGAAACGCTCTCGCGAACGAGAAGCGGAGATGTTTCAACGGGAGCGGGCCAGAAGCCAAACCTCAACTTCTGGAGGCTCGAAGAAGAATCCAGTCTGAGTCTGTCAGGTCTGTCAGGTGTCTTTTTTGTTTGGAACCTGGCAGCCTTACAGAGCATCACACACAAAACTGTTCTGAACCTTCGGGGGGTAACTGCCACTGGGCTGAATTGACTGAATTACTCTGCAGGTACTGAGCTGGAAGCCCTACGCAAGGACTTGAAGACCCCAAAGCCACCTTCGTATCTCAAGACACGGCCCTTTGGTTCGGCCAAGCCCGAACCAACGGAGGCGTCCCAGCAGTGCGCTGGCTTGGTAGCATACAGCTCTAGTGAAAGTGAGGAGAGCCGGGCAGAATCAGAAAGACTGTAAGGGGATGGTCGGATGGGCTCCAAGGGCAGCAACGAGTGGCTAGAGTTGTATGGCTTGCTGGAATGCTTGCTTTGGCCTTGGGTCATTGCCGGCCGTTTTGTCATTCAGCAGGGAGGCTGTTGAGATTGCGTTTGGGTGACACACCGAATGGCGCAGGATGAGCGGTGAACTCCTTCATTCTCTCCTTCTTGGTGTGAATCTCCTTGCGCCTCACCTCATCCGGACATTTCAATGAACTTCGGGATTGTTGGGCATCCTGAGCTGGTATTGGGTAAAGCTCCTTCAAACAGCATCCCGCATCGTGAGACCGGGCCAATGGTGCACGGTCAATGAGTGAAGGGCTTTGCTGCAGACACCACAGGTGCATAACTCAGCTACTCAGTTGCTTCACCTGGCCTCCTTCGCTCACCTGAACGGCAAAACCGTCGCTTGTTTTTAGCATTTTTAGCCCGCCCTTGCTTAATTAAGTAGGAGCCTACCTAATTAAGGGCAAGGGAGTAAGCTACCAGCTACTAAAGCTTCTAGTAACCGGACGCAGGATAGCTCGCGCTCGCACTAATGATTTGGTTTCTAGATGTTTCCAGATTTGGGTATATTTGGGGGAAACTTAACTTGCCTCTCATACTCTTATCACCCTTGCAGCAAAGCCTTGATCACATGACACGCGTGACCGACCCCAGCGGCTCAAACAGATCCGGAGGGCGCCATGGCCTGGCGGTGCTCGGCCTCGGGCAACGCCGACCTCGTGCGGAACCTCCGCAAGGTCCCGGGAGATGGGAAACAAGGAGAGGAGAGAGTGCCGGGGTATGTATGTTTACTGTATATATATATATTGTATATATATATATATGTGTGTGTGTGTGTGTGCCAGGGTCGGGTTTGTACTTGCAAATAAATATATGTATACCGTATACTCATATCCACGTGCGTGGTGCCAAACTAGGAACGGAGACAATGGTGTCCATGCTCACAACGGCTGCCTCAGACTAGGTACGCACTGAAGACTTGTCCTAAAATGCTGATAACATTTGGCTGGTGATGCTGTGGGTGAAACCAATGGTTGACGGTTGACCCCTCTAAAATGAAAAGAATTAACTACCAAAGGTTTCTCACAGCCGTTGGTGGGGTGAGGCCGGGGTCATCCACTCAGACCATGTGGAGCAAGCGATGCTCACAGTGGATCGCAGCAACTATGCGCCGCGCAACCCGTATACAGACGCACCGCAGCCGATTGGTCACCAGGTGGGCTTAGCATCGCTCGGCTTCGACTTGAAAGGGTCAAATGATGAGCAGCAGGAGAACGGCCCCGCATAGTTGGGCAACCGAAAACGGTTCACCTGCCGTCGTGCTTGGGCCCGAACTCTGATGGAATTCTCGATTCAACTCTGGTAGGCCACCATCAGCGCACCCCACATGCATGCTCATGCACTTGAGCTGCTCTCGAAGCACCTTCAGCCAGGACGGGTGGTGTGATACAGTTTGCTGACTGCAGGTGTAATGTGGAGACAAGAATTCCTTGTGCACATGTTCGCAACAAAGCTACCAAAGCATTTTCTGAGCATGCTGGGATATCACTTCAGTTCTACAAAAGATTCTCCTTGTGCGCAGGCATGCGAGCCTTAGATGT